GCACATATCCTAAGGGGAAAAGTTCAGTTTTTGATACTTTTCTAACTTTCAATCGTCATTCTGGGTAGGGATTTTCCTTCCTCTATCCAGAGCCTTTTTGGCTGTTAATTTAAATCTGAGGTTAGTCAAGAGTAATAAGACTTATTAGTGATGTGAAATGTCGCAACTCAATAATCTATTTCCGTTTCCAAAATCAACAGCCTGAAGAAATTTTGTCTGCCTTCGATAGCTTTAAAATCTCAGACATAATAACACTAACCGTCTTTAATCTCTTCACAAGAATACCATCCTACGCTTTACTTCTAACGATAATTCAACTACGCTTCACTCTAAGACTAATTTGCAGCCTTGATAGAAAAATAATAATGTCGAATATTTTCTCACCTAGAAAGCGTGAAAGAGTTGATTCTCAATCGGTCCTCACAGGTAATCGAAATACGTCTTTAAATCTTGCCTTCATTATTTGGAGTAATTCCCAGACAAATTTCTCCCAGATATGCAATTCTAAATAAGAATACAACAAGAATTTCTGTTCTTGCAACAATTTCTCTCAATTTTGACCCATCGAGTGCCTGCTGCCCCACTTCACTTTCAGATGGGTTTTGCGTGCTTAATAAGCAACGTCTCTTCAATTTTAGCCTGTGTTTGTGTGGATTACTGTTCATCTTGTAGACGATTTCCACACTAATTGACATTCACTTACAAATGGACCGATGCCAAAACAGTGAAGGTTGGAGTATTTTTGTGTTCTCAGAAAAGTTCGTATTTTCTTTACGGCAAACATGCTTCAAATTATTTTATGCTACTTAAAAGCATTCAGTAAGAGAAGACAAAATCAAGAAATGCTACGATATCTTTAGAATCCTCTTAATCGACGCATCACAATTTTATTGGCACACTACAAGGCGTAAACATTCGTGAGTACTGATTTCCAAATCGCTAAGAAGAGTCTAAACCGAATTTCAATTAAGGATAGTAGAAAGAGAAATTGCTTTTGGTGTTGCGTTTGTCGAGGGAGCAGCATTCGAAGCTTGAAATGCATGAGATTTTTGCCTGTTGGAGCACAACTAGTGTGGGAAAATGTCTTAGTGTGCAAGCCAATTTCGGCCAATAAACAGTGTATGCATGAAATACTGCAGGATCTCTTATTCCCATTCAAGTGTGCTTATCTGGTTTAAGTGGAGGACTTCTCCCTCGTACATTAACAAGAATAAAATTACTTTGTTTGGAAATTTCACATTGAAATATGATTTATCTGAAATTTCGGATATATCTTCATCTCTGGAGTGTTCACAAACATGCCGATGATGTGATAAAATTTGAGAAGTGTGAATACTTGTTAAACGATATGTTTGTATATCATATTCTCTTTTGGCAATTCAAATATTCGAAATACCTTTGTTCACAGTAATTTAGCTGTGGCTTTTATGTCAACAGATCAATCTTTGTTCAGACTCCTCCATATCGAAATGAAATTTGGCAATATATGTTTTTCTTCAATCGGGGTATTATGTAATAACAATGAAATATGTAATGAAATGACCAAAACAATATAATATTTAATGTATTGACAATGGAAATAAAGATCTTGAGGGTGTTTGTCAATTTTAAACAATTCTGTGCTGCCAACAGGAGTTTTCCCTGTCCTGGTGCGCAACTTGTTACTATGGCGTAGTTTAACTCCTTTCAAAATCAATTCAAAGTTTCCATCAATTTTATGTTTAAGTAAGAGAAGTTGGTGGAAGGCCGCTTGCAAGAGACAATCAACCTAATTCATTTTCTCAAAGAGTTTTATTTAAAAGCTACGTTTAATAAATATGATCAAACACTACGCCAACTATTTAACTAAGTCGTATCAAGTTTTGTATAAAGCACATAGTTCTTGTGTGATGATATCAATTTCGGTTATAAAATGTAATTATGAAAAGCTACTAATGACGTTAATCAAATTGTGTTCCGCTCTCTTCAGAAGCTAACACACATCAAAATGGGAGCCAAGAAATTTGTGGTAACAAGTGTCAACTGTGGAGCATTTGCTAGAATTTAATTGGTTACGAAAGGGCGTTTGCTTTTCCAATGATAGTGCTATTCTTCGTAGTCTGCCACTTTTGCATTCTAAGCGCAATCGTACACTCTGCTTTCAAATAGATTTACCAATGATGCAATTTCCATCTGAGATCCGACAAATTGATCACGACCCCATCTCTAAATATGCCAATGGGTTCAATGTATTGCGACAAGAAATGACACTAATCGATTTGTCAATACTTGTAAGTGCATATTTTCGTTGCAGATGCAACTTTTCTCATTTCAGACCAAAGACGGAACTGCTATCCCTGCCCACAAACTTGTCCTTTGTGCACAATTTCCAGGAATAAAGAACAGTATCTTACAGAGCAAACATTCAAATCTCTCAAATTGGAGTCGTTTTCCAAATGAGTAGGTCATTTTCCCGATAACATTATCAATTCGTCAGTATTGTTACGGTAGTCGTCGATTTTGCCTACACTGGTGAAATACTCATAAATGTTGAAAACGTATTGGGGATATATTTGATGGCCCACAATCTTGGCTGCGAACAGTTGATTGACTGGACAACTGAGTTCATCAAGACTAGGTTCGTTAATTGCAACCAAAATAAACACAATGTGTGCGTGTGTGTGTGTGTGTGTGCGAGTGTGTTAGTTTAAGTAGAGTGAAGTTCAAAAAGAAAAGATAAAGATGAGTGGTTGGAATGGGAGTTTGTGGCAAGTGATGCAACAATATACCACCCATCACTCATACCCAAGCGGCCATTGTCTTGTAGACTTGATCGACTTGATTTGATGGAGATTTGGTCAGCAGGAAATGTCACTTCAAACGCTGATCTCATTGACGCATGCATACCAAGGATAGCGTGTGATTTTGAGAGATTAGCCTCCAGCCAGCCATTCTTCCAACACGTAGGTGTCGACCAACTTCAAACATTATTGCAAAGTCCCTGGATATGTGATGGAAAAGAAACAGTGAAATTCAAGGCACTCTGCACATGGTTGCATGCGTCCCTCTTAAATGACGAACACGTTAAACTCGAAAAGCACTTCCATCGTCTCCTGAAGTTGATCAACATGAAGAAATTGCCAAAAGAATTTATAATTAAAACGTCAGTTAATGGATCGGATTTCAACTTGTCTGAAAGTGCAAGGTAAAATGTTAATCCCATTATTGAATATTTGGTTCTTTAGGATAACATTTCTGGACACATTTATGAATTCGATTGAAACGACAATTGAAAGGTACTCTCATATATATCTTATGCATTTAATATGAAATGCATAATGCATTGTTTTGCCGTCGCAGCTCGAAATCGATAATCTGTGTTCATGGGCGTGAAAACACTTCAAGAAGTGGAGTTCTGGAGGCTATTCCTAAAACAAGTGGAGGACGAAAATTTTCTTTCCCATTAGAATTTCGACCAGGCAGCTGCTCAGTTGCTTTGGATGGTTGGATCTAAATTCGATTGCTTACTCCCAATTACTCGATTTCATTCCTTGTAGGTAGTGTTTATACTCTGGGTGGCACGAACAAGTTTAATGAGATTACATCAAGAGTGGATAGAATCAATCCACAGAATGGTGAAGTGACCTTACTCCAACCAATGATTGAGGAGAGATCGAGTCATTCTGCAGTGGCTCGNATCGATAATCTGTGTTCATGGGCGGGATGACACTCCAAGAAGTGGAGTTTTGAAGGCGATTCCTAAAACAAGTGGAGGACGAAAATTTTCCTTCCCATTTGAATTTCGACGAGGCAGCTGCTCAGTTGCTTTGGATGGTTGGATCTAAATTCGATTGCTTACTCTCAATTACTCGATTTCATTCCTTGTAGGTAGTGTTTATACTCTAGGTGGCACGGACGAGTTTAAAGTGAGTACATCAAGAGTGGATAGAATCAATCCACAGAATGGTGAAGTGACCTTACTCCAACCAATGATTGAGGAGAGATCGAGTCATTCTGCAGTGGCTCGAGATCATGCAGTTCTAGTTTTTGGAGGTTTTAGTCCGCAAAGTAAAATATTCTTAGACTCTTGTGAGGGATTCCTACCTGCAACCAACACGTAAGCAATTTATATGCAGTTTTTACGCATTTTAAAACATTTTGCCTGGTGTGATGTTTGTACCTACCTTGATTGCAAATACATTTTCTGAATCAAACTGAATTTGTCCGATTTTGTGCGGATAATGACTTAAACTCACTTGATTGCTTTTGGCAATGCACTAATATCTGATGAGACTTTTCACTCGTCGTTTGAAAGTACTCACTCATTTGTACATCGTCATTAGTTGTAAGACATATATGTCAGTTGGACATGGCTCAGGTATAGCTAAAGTGGATGCACTTAATCTATTTATTTTATAGTCAGTCATTTGTTTTTTTTCAGATTGACAAGATTTTTGAAGTTACGTCCATCAACATGTACATATACAGATGATTAACATGTTCTGATATCAATTGCATACGCATTTCGAGATATTCGTGAATGCATTTTCTGCATTAATTTGAGTTTGTCTGCTTTGGGTTGGAAAATGACTTGCATTCATTTCATTGCTATAGGTAATGCAATATGATGTGACTTATAATTCTTGGAGAGTTCTGGAAAAAATATTGTATCATTTATACATCTTCATAAATAGTAGGATATTTGTATCCAAAGGACACTACTGGGTAACAGTTGACTTAGACCAAGAGATAATTAATGTGAAAGTATTCATGGTGTATTGCCTTTGTGACAAAATGTCTTCTTATTTCTGACAATTGAAGGTCTTTCAAATACCGAAACACCAGATGATGGCATGTTCAGATAAGCAAGATATTGGTAGTACTGTGCACCAGCTTGTGCGCATGCAGATACTAGACCTCACCTTATTTCAAGCTTCAACTTTTAGGTCACAGGAGACGAAATAATAAGTAACACTCGTTTTTTCACAATTTGAAAATTTAGTTGGAGGAAATTGCCCCCAATGCCAACGCCCAGGGCTTGCACAGGAGCAGCACATATCCCCGGTGTTGGTGACATAGTTGTTGGTGGGTTTAGAAGAATTAGAAATTTACTACAGAATGCCAACAAAGCTGAAATCTTTTTGACAACTGCATCGCCTCTTGGACATGCAGGCAGTTGGTGTGAAATCACTCCCATGCTTCATTCGAGGTTATATCCTGCAGCAGAATTCTTCAATGGAAATGTATATGTCGTTGGTGATTTTGATAATTCAACTTCTTCTGTGGAGATGTTGTCCTTATTTTCTGAAGGATCTCCCCAGTGGACCGAAGTGATCGACGCCTCCTCTAGTACGAATTCGATGATCTCTTTTAATGGGAGTCTTTTGTTTAGTGGTGAGTCATGTTTACTTCAATTCAATTATTTCGAAATGAAGTAGAAATATTTTCCTACGTTAGAAATGACGAGTTGTCTACAACAAAATTATCTTCTCTCGAACAGGGAATCGATTAATTTGAAAATATGAGGTCATAAATGGAATTTTAAAATTCTGTAATGCGTTTAGAAATACTTTGAAAACTGGAATAAAAACTGTGGTGCTTGCATATGATTTCTACCTTAGTAACTTAATACAACTTAATATTCATAATTTGAATTTCAAGTGCCATACTTGGTTTCCTATACATTACAAAGCAGAAATCAATATTCTCTCAGGAGAATTTTCTAAATCACAATTTATCTGTGTCTACACTGTAAGATAAATTAATGTTTATCTTGATTTTGCTGTGGTTTTTGTTGAAGCCACTCCAGACCCCTGGTACTTTTCGCTTCGACAACTCTCGATGAATAGGAAGAATGATTAGTAGAATTAATACCAAGGAAGTTCCATTGGCATCTCTCACCAATTTTGTTCAAAAGTCCCAGATAGTAGATCAATAGACATACTCTCCGGAAATGGAGGCTCGATAAATCAAATGAGATTGATTACTGTGCAGATGGAAGACAGCCACACTCATCCACTATGTAGTCAGACATTGGGAACGCTGATGAAACAAATGCCACTCTTTTCTATTACAAGGCATATTTTGCAATGAGTTCATGCCAGTAACGCTTTGAGCACATTGGTCAATTAGTTAAATTGAGTGTTCCAGCTATTTTTCATTACTAAAATGTGAGTGCAGATAACTGAATTTTGTGGGATTGCTTTGGAATAGGTGTATTCACCAGACTGCGCTTATTGAAAGTTAATGTAAATGTAATAGTTAAATCGGCTCATATTTTACCCTCATTTTAGCCTACGAAGGAGCAATATATGAGCTGTTGGTCGACCAAGACAACGGGGTAAGTTTTATGACTTTGAAACTTTATGAAAGAACAAGTTGTTTATCAAGGCCTATTTATTGTTTATTCAGAACTCCTCAGGACAAAATTGTTCCTGGAAATTGATTTCCAAACTAGACTATTTTGGCCGCTTTCGTCTTATTAAGATTGATTATCTCGAATGATTTATCTTCTCACCACTGAACAACAATTTTAAATGTCTTTTACTTTTGCAAACGAACGGATATGATAAAAATGACTGTAAAATGTTAACATTACATATTTAGTTGCAAATAGACTGAACAATAAAAATTGGGAAGTAAAAATTCTTTTCCTCTCTTACTGAAGAAAAAATTTGTTTGAAAATTGGGAAAATAATAAAGAAGGAAAGAAATATGCAAAATAATAAAGCCAATATTTTAAATATTTAAATAGAAAAATTAAATAAGATTAGTACCCAGAGTGTTCTGTGAAAGAACCTCATGCGCACTTCAACATTTATCTGTACAGAGATACCACATCACATCCACAATAAAGTTGTTCCACGTGATACGTCTGTTTTCTCTTTCTAGAGGAAAAATCAATCTCAGAGTGAATGGAAGAAAAAATATGCGAAATGAAATACAAATCAATACCATCTCTTAAAGAGAGATATTAGGGCGGTGTGAACACGTCTAGAGAGGACTTTTCTGCTTATCAGCCTTCAATATTCATTCAAGTTGCGTGGAATGCAGTTCCATTACTACGCATAGTCGATGTGAGCACTATTAGCAATCAACACTTCTCTAGTCGTGCGTTCTGCTGAAATGGCTTTGCTGATATCAGAAGCTGCTGCATACAAGGACATTCTGACCAGAAATGATGGCTGGAGTCAAGGAAAGCCTTTTACGTGTAGCATTCCACATTAGATACACTGTGGCACTTGTTAACAGCACAACAAAGTAGCAATTTGAATACTAGAATATATACAGAATGTGGAATCGCTCTTTTGGTTTGTAATAATAAAGGACAGCCTATGTTTAACTATGAGCGTTGCATTGAGTCATGAATGAGTAGTTGGACATCGGGTAAAGCAAATTCTTTCAACTTCGATTTTTTAACGCAACATTAATTGTCTATAGTCTCTTGATAAAAATATCCACCTCCACTATCCCTCTTAGAGTGGGATCGGAGTCAAACTCAATTAATGAGTATTTTATTTATTTCAAATGACAGCCGTTATGTTAGGTATCATTAGCCCTTTAGTTGACTTCGTGCTTCACAGAAAGAGGAACACCAAAGTGGCAAAAAGTCGAGAGGGGGGACAGCATCAAAGTGGCAAAAAGTCGAGAGGGGGGACAGAATAATTATTCACAGACGTAAAAGAGCCAGACAGACAGACAGACAGACACAAAAGTAGATAAAAAGGTGAGTACTGTGGAATTAGTAGAATATGAAATGCGGTGGGGTCTTGGTAGTTTGAAGTCAGAAGTCAACTGCCGATTAATAGACTTTTTGCCGTATGAGTATACGTTTCCTAGAGTGCACCACGTGGAAGTAAGTATATCGTACACCCCCAATTAATGAGTATACTACTCATATTAGCTTCAGTAGTACATTCAATATCAACTCGGGAAAAGAAATAGCTCTGAAGCAGATTACAAAGTGTTCTTAATCAACTCTAAAAGACGATTAAAGTTCCTTCGCGTTTAGTGCGTTCGAAATTGAAAGACGAGGAATTCAACCATATGCACAGTGCCTTGAATTTTGTTACTTCGTTTCCATCACATATCCAAGGACTTTGTAGTTGGAGCTGAAGTTGTTCGACTCCTACGTGCTGAAGGAAAGACTGGCTGGATGATAATCGCTCGAAATCACATGCACGCAGCAATGAGATCGTTGTTTGAAGTGCCATTTCTGGCTGACCAAGCTTTCATCGAATTAAGCCGATCATTTTAGTAATGAAAAATAGCTGGAACACTCAATTTAACTAATTGACCAATGTGCTCAAAGCGTTACTGGCATGAACTCATTGCAAAATATGCCTTGTAATAGAAAAGAGTGGCATTTGTTTCATCAGCGTTCCCAATGTCTGACTACATAGTGGATGAGTGTGGCTGTCTTCCATCTGCACAGTAATCAATCTCATTTGATTTATCGAGCCTCCATTTCCGGAGAGTATGTCTATTGATCTACTATCTGGGACTTTTGAACAAAATTGGTGAGAGATGCCAATGGAACTTCCTTGGTATTAATTCTACTAATCATTCTTCCTATTCATCGAGAGTTGTCGAAGCGAAAAGTACCAGGGGTCTGGAGTGGCTTCAACAAAAACCACAGCAAAATCAAGATAAACATTAATTTATCTTACAGTGTAGACACAGATAAATTGTGATTTAGAAAATTCGATGCCATTTGAATTGATTCCTTAGGGAAAATTAATTTCTGCTTTGTAATGCATGTGATACCAAGTATGACACCCGATATTTAAATTAATACTATTAAATTTTATTATGGTACTAAAGAAAAAAACATATGTAAATTCTGCTGCTTTTGTTCCAGTTGTCAAGACATTGTTATATTTCATTTAAAAAAAATAATAATGTAAACATGACTCACACATAAAGAAAAGATTCCCATAAAAGAGATCATCGAAACTGTTGAAAAGGAGGCGTTGATCACTTCGGTCCACTGGGGAGATTCTTCAGAAAATAAGGACAACATCTCGACAGAAGAAGTTGAAGCACTAAAATCACCGGCGACGTACACATTTCCATTGAAAAATTCAGCTGCAGGATATACCCTCGAATGAAGCATGGGAGTG